AGATTAAAATTTTAATTCTCAGTTCTGATTTTTATTCATGACTATTTCACCTCCACATAAATTACATTTTGAAAATGAGACTCCTAAATAGAGACACCCTTAATCCAAAAGATAAGGATTCCAAGCACATACAAAGTTTGACTGATTTTAAAAATCACTCTCTTAAAATCATTCTAATAATAATTTAATTTACTTGAAAACTTAGAATTAAATTTTGTTTCCAAAAATATGATTTCAAGGAAAATCTAAAAAGCATTTTGTTGGCCAAAATGTTATTATATTTGCCTTTAATCTTAATATTTTTTTTCAAAAATAGCAATTCTCTTCACCTGCCCCCAAATCCATCACATATGAAGTAAAAGATCACTAATATCATATTCTATTTAATTAAAAAAATATGTAAATATGACAGTCTCCTGATTTTGCTATATCATAATTCCTACTTATTAAATAATATTTGTTTAACAGCAATTAAAATATATAGGAATCTGATTTTCAAAAGTGCACTTTATAATAAGAAATCTACATATTTTTTCTTAAGATTACAATAAACAAATTTTATACTACTACCTACTAGTTCTTATTTTTTCCTATGTTTTTATTGTATTTATTATTTATCATCATTTAAAACTAATTTATTTTCTCATATTCCACTTATATTTTTACAATAAAAGTAATGCTATTACTTGGGTCCTACTTAAAATTACCAGCTGTTTTTAAAAAATTATTCTAAGTCAAGCTAGAATCTAGATAATACTCAGCTAAACCGCCGAAACTCAGAAATGTCATTTCTTTCATACAAGTTGCTATTCCACGTTTTAAGTTTTGGCATCCCACCAATTATTAAACTGTGCTGTAAACTCAATTGTCAGAAACTTCTTGCAATTTATCACCTAATATAACTTCAGATGTATGTATACTTTGTATGCGTTTCATCTAATATAAAGGAAGTGGGGCAGCAAGGTGGCACTCTATCCACTGATAGAGCACCAGCCCTGGAGTCAGGAAGACCTAAGTTCAAAACCAGCCTCAGACACATAATACTCACTAGCTGTGTGACCCTCGGCAAGTCACTTAACCCCAACTGCCTCACCCAAAAAAACAAAAACAAAAAAAAAGAAATTGCTATTTTCTAAAGGAGGACAGCATCTAAAATGCAAATCCTTTATAATTACAACTTAATTCTTCTAATACTAAATTATTCTCAAAGACTATGCTTTTGCTTGTTGAACCTGCCACTCTCCCCAATTCTCTCCAATCCTAAAATATAACTAAGATCAAAACTGAAGACAAGCAAGTGAAAGTATCCATGGATCAGAATACATCATCTGTTAGCAGAGGGGTAATGTATATAAGTAAAAGCTTTTCCCATCTGACTTAACATAACACATTAACTAATTCAACAATTATATGGCCCATATCTTGATCTTTATGCTCATAACAAACATACCCCAAAAACGTTATATTCCATTTAAAATAAAACCCTAAAGTTTAAGATTACCAAGATTTTAATTTCCAAACTGAGATGATTAATGATATCAATAACAGTAGCACCATTTGTCTGAAATTTCTAACATGAACCTTAAGGCTAATAATCATCTAGTTCTCATGATAGTAACCTTATTTAATTATATGAGGACCTTCTTAAGGAACTTGAATGCTTTTCTAATTTTATTTTATTAATCAATAAAGAACTAGAGTAAGTAGAAAGGAAGAGATAGGGTTGGTCCCATTTTTTTCAATGAAGAAACAAAAGTGCAAAAAAATTAAGTGAATTGCCCATAAGTCAATAAAACTCTGGCTTCTAAATTTCCCATCCTTATCCAATGAATAGAGGAATAAGAACAAAATCTATCTGCTACAACAAAGATGTTAAGATTGGGTCTTGAATAACTGACATTCCAGTTTTCCCAAACTGCTTACTAAACTCCTTTGCTCGCTGTCTAATTGAATCCAAAAACTTACTGAAATATGGATACAATGGTGTGTGTGTGTGTGTGTGTGTGTGTGTGTTGTGTGTGTATTCCTCTGTAATTGTGATGATAGAGGTTTAAAAGGTCTCCAGTGGAGTGCCCCAGAGATCTGCGCTCAGATTTTTTAACAGTGACCTGGATATAGGCAGAAATTTCATGTTTATCAGATATTCAGGTGCTACAAAGCTGGGAGACATACCTAATAGAGCAGATAAGAGAGTACAAATCAAAAACATCTTAACATCCTAACATGGGTCAAATCAAATAAGATGAAATTTAACAGACAAAGGCAAATTCCTACAATTGGTCTATTTGTTTTTTATTTTGTTTTTGGTTTAAAGCTTCACAGGTATAAGATGGAGGAGGTAACAAGTCATCTGTAAAAAGACTGCAAGCTTAATATGAAACAAAAATGGAACACGGTGGCCAAGAACACTAATGTGATCTTATGCTTCATTAAACGCGTACACCTTCCAGGAATAGGGAAGTGATAGACTCACTGTACCCTGCCCTGAGCAAATTACATCTATGTAGTACCTTCTAGTCACCACACTGTAGAAAAGAGATTGATAAGCTACCAAATGCCCAGAGAAGGACAACAACCGATGGGAATGACTTTAAGTTCATGCTGTATGAGGATAGGCTGAAAAAATTGAGTATGTTGAATACAGAAAGCGGACAAAGGATGGGATAGTTATCCTCAAGAACCTGAAAAATCATCAAACGGTAGAGGGATTGCACTTATTCTGCTCAGCCCCAGAGGGCAGAACTCTGAACAATGAGTAAAAGCTACATAAATGTAAACTTAAGCTGGAACTAGGTTGTCTTTTAACAACTACAGCTACTACAAAAGGCTGTAAATAACAGGTCCTTCTTCTACTAGGTCTCCAAGCAAAAAACAGACGACCACTTGTTGGGTACAGAGTAGTGGGAATTCTTTTTCAGCTGTGGGTTGGACTAAATGGTCCTTGAGGTCCCTCTTCCAACTCTTCAATTTCATGTTTAAAATTTCACCATTAGTCAGTTCCACCAAAAGTATGACTGAATTGCTCCAAACTAAGAGTGAGTTAGATATTTTATGAAGGACTTAACATTGAAAAAAATGCCTTAAATGCCACACTGTCTCAGATGGTCGGAGATTTTTTCTTAGAATTCTCACACTAGAAAACTTATTTGAAATAAAATATTCATCATCACTTAACAATAAGTAATCATCTCACACATATTATCTTGATGTATCTGAAAATTAAGCACAGCACTGGACCGTCTGTATGAGCAGCCAGTAATTTATATTTTGCATAAGCCCAGAAAGATACTAACAATTTTAAAAACAGTACAAGCTTTCATATAAAAGTTGCAAAATCTTGTACTGAAACAAACAGAACAATTCCTATTATTGAATGCCAATTATGTGCTTCAAGGTGGCGAAGGACTGATATCGTTCAGTTCCATTTGCATTCAAGTTCCTCCTAAGAATCAGCCTGGTGAAGATAAACAGAATCACATCCTTAGCTGGTTGCACGTGACATTATTTCATGGCTGTTATTCTCATTCCTAGGGGATAACAACCATGGAAAGCCATTTAATAATGGTAATAATGGGGGTGGGGGGGGAGAAGAGAAAAGAAACAGCATTCATTGAAAAATCACACAGTGCTTTCAAGGTAAGTAGTATCCTTCTGTTATAGAAATACACACTAAAGGACAGCATAAGCAACTTAAATGACTTGAATTAGGGCCTTATGAAATATTATTAAGGTTTGTAACTTGCCTCGAAGTCCTTGATCTAACAGACCTTATAGTGACTGAGAGGTCCTCTTTTTTTTTTTTCAGTGAAGGGGAAAAAAATGAGAGAAAACCAGTTTTCCCTTTACAGAAAAAAAAGAGGAAATTTATAAAGGTGAATTTAATGAAGAAGGCCTATAACTGAGGGCTTCAGTTTGACCTTAGGCAAAAATGACAAGCTTAGGAAGGGGGCTTACCAGACCACTGTTGGGGAAGGGGTGCCTACATAAAAGGAGGAGGAGGCGGCAATAACTTAAGGATGGGAAAAGGAAGCCTTCTGCTATTTAGTATTTATTGTAGGTTGGGAAAAGGAATTAAAATAAGATTTGAAGATTTAGAATAAGAACAATGAGCAGCCAGTTCAGAAGTTCTGACTCAAAGATAAAGATCAAAATTAAAAACACCACTCATAGAAAAAAGAAAAAGGCCAAGATTTTAGGGGTTCTGGGAAGAAACATGTGGAAAGGACAGAGTTCTAATGCACTGGGAAGGCAGAAGCAACAGGTGTTCTAGTAAGATTCATAAAGATAGAGCTAAGTCCTATCATTAGACTTCTAGCCCCTCTTGGGTCCCTCTTTTCAGAATACAACAAAGCCACATGACAGAAGATGGCATTCCCAAGCAATGGATTAAAACTAAGGGATTCCATTTCAACCACAAAATAACTGGTAGTATTAAAGTTCCTTAATTTGGGCTTAACTATTAGATGAGTCCTTTACCTTGCTATCTAGTTCAAGAGACAAAAATAAGACATCAACGAAGGAAATGGCAGAGGCAAAAAAAGGCTCCAATCACAAAAATTTAAGAAAATCAAATCCTCATCCCTGAAAAGAGAATTCTATCATTCTAAATACATGATGTCATTAAACTGAGGCAAAGTCTAATTTTGATACATATAATACTATTTTATTCTTTATTTTTAATCTTTCTTACATTTAAAAAAACATACAGGAGTTCAGAACAACCTTAACAAAACAACATGTTCATATTTAAGGGACCTCTGAGGTCAAACCATTGGTGTGCAAACATGGTTGGCTTCCAATATGAAGGATCCTAGGCACAATTCATTCAACATATTTGTTTTTTGGCAAAACAAGGAAATCATAGTGCAGCCGTTAACAAGTCCAATATTCCTAAGTTAGACACTTAAATCCATCTGAAAGACTGACAGCTTTGGCCCAAAGTAAGATTTATACAGCCCTTCGATGTGCCCCACTCCCACCCACCCTCCCACTCTAAACCCTCCCCAAACATGCTGCATCTGAACCCCTGGTAACTTATTACACAAACCCATGTAATGCACTTACAAAATTAGTTCATCTCTGAATCTGAAAGCAGATCATTACAAAGGGAAATACTGAAGCTCTTACCTGTATTTGATAATTAAGTAAATTGTCTTCTCACCTCCTCCAAGAACACAGTTTTATCTAATAAATATCTACTTAACAACGGCACAAAAAGTATTTTTCTCTTAAAAGCAAGTTTTTGTTTTTTGTGTATTTGCTTCAATCCTGCAGATTGAAAACAGCATTGACCTATTCGATGTGCTACGAAAACATTAGGCACAGACCACATAATATAATTTACATTTTTTTGTTGTTTTAAAAAATACAGTATATGCAAGCAGGATTCACACAAAGGACTTGCAACTACAATAGTATGCTATTTTAAGTAGCAGACCCAACATAAAAGGGTTAATATTTTACTTGAAAAAGAAAAAAATTCAAACTAGCACTGAGTAATATCTCACTACTAAGTGCATCTCTTGTATCTGCATTAGAATAATCTTGTTAGTAAAAAGGAGGGTGGGGGAAAAGAAGGCTTAGCTATTAAAAAAACATATTAGGCACAGGAACTTATTAATAGGACAGGGGAGGAGGGGAATGTTTCTAAAAGCTATTAGAACATGTTGAATGAATATCGTTCCCCCTCACTCCCAACTAGGTTGCTTTTTTGGAAGGAAGAGGTTAGTAACATCGTAATTACCTTGAACAGTAAGTTCCCTCGTTAAAACTAAGACACTTCTGGAATAAGGAACCAAAAGATTTAGGGCAGGAAAAATGGGAGAGCTGGGAAGAAGACTTAGAAGAGGTTAGAGACTAGCAGATTTTGATAAACAGGAAAAAAAGCTTCTACCTTTTAAAAAAAATAATGATTTTAATTTTGTTTTTCAATGACCATTTGTGCAGCAATGAATACTGTAAAAACATATGCAAGGGGGTTATGTGGCTAGTTATTAAGCTATATTTACTGTGTAGGCTTTCTGGAGATCGTTTGTGGATAGTAGCCTACTGCATTTTAAAAGCATATTTTAATGGAAAAGGTTATCACATGCTACATATATAATATGCAGCATTCGTCTACAGGAGAAAATAAGAAAAAGAAATCACTTCCTAAAAAGAGGGAGAAAGATACACAGGAGGAATCTGCTTTGATGTGCTAGTTATGTTATGCCCTGTGGAAGATTTGAGATACTAATTTGTTGTTGTTGTTGTTTTTTAATTTTCACTGATAAATTTCTCTTACCACCATACAAATTCAAAGGAACCATATTCACATGATAAATAATGTCTCACATGTGTTCCCTTTCTAGGTTCCTTTTCCATCATTTTCTTTTCCATTTAAAAAAAATCACTTTTAGCTTACATGTCATTTCATAGTGAACTATTCAAGTAAATATTTCTGTCATGGAAAATCCCCAGATGTACCAAATACTATTCCAAGCCACTCTCAGACTGTACTTGATCAGCTGTGCAGTTTTCCTTAGATGGAGCAGGAATTAGCCCGTTTTCTGGGCTTGGGGTCCTGGATGTCCCGGTCTTTTAAACACATACAAGAGGAGCATATTGTCTGTGATAATCTTCGGAGGCCCAACCTAAAAACACTATTGGAGAGGCTATATATTACACAGTTACAGAAACTATTGCTTATAGCAAGCCAGGTTGTTAGGAAGGAGAGCGCGGGATTATCCAGGACTCGGGAGCTCTCCAGAAGAAAGTATATGATGTAGGGGAGCCAGAGCACGTAGAACACGCTGGTTATCCGAAACAAAACCATGGCGTAGCGTCTGTCAGGGCTGTGTCCAGTCTCTCCGGCAGCATCGACTTCATGGCTAGGGAATCGGGCCCTTCGGTCGCTGATCTCTTTGGTGTGCTGCCGACAGATTTTGAAGATGTGGAAGTAAGTGAAGCAGATGACAAAGGCAGCAGGGGCATAAAGTAAACAAACAATAAAGCCAGTAAAATAGGCATTGGTGAGCCAAGAGGTAGCACACCATTCAAAAATGTCACCGTGGTAACCAGGTTTCCCCCAGCCGAAAAAAGAAGGCAAGAAAATCAGGCAGGAGTAGATCCAGATCAGAATAATGCAGATTCTCAAGCGACAAGGAGTGACCAGCTGGTTGTAGGAAAGGGGTTTGGTGATGGCAAGGTAGCGATCCACACTGATGCAAGCGAGACAAGCCATGGAAACACTCTTCAGCACTGAGATGATGTATCCGAAAACCTGGCAAGTCAGCGACTCGTGGACACCTGTGGAATAATGAAGCAAGGAGAGAGTAGGAACTAAGCAGCTCACTCCCACGAAGAGATCAGCGTAGGCCATGGTCTGGATGAAATAGCTGGTGGTATAATGATGCAGAAGTGGAGCACAGTGAAAGACAAAAATAACGGTTAAATTCCCGGCGATGATTAGACACGTCAGCAGGACAATAACGACGTCTCCAGGATGCACACGTCCTCTGCGTTGTAGTGGCCAAATCCAAGCGGGCAGGAGTGATGCTCCGAGACGTTCCCAAAGCTCGTGTTGTAAGTCTTTGGTGCAGTCAACCTGGACTCATTCATGATTTCGGATTAGGAAACCCCGCAGCCGGGATGACGGCAGTCCAGGGATGACCTGCCCCACATCTGCTAACCTCTGCGCTTTGGTGGCTCACGCTGTCTCTGCTGATGCTGCCAATTGCTTCTGTCACAGATCAGCTTCCCAGAACTGTTCAGGCGTCTTCACCAGCCTCAGTACAGCACTGACACACCTCAGCTGTGAGGGGAAAACAAGCTAGGAAGGAGGTGAAAAGAAGGCCACCAGTTAGCTCCCTCCAGTGCTCTCAAACTACCTTTAATAAACACAAGGCACTTCTAAAGGAAACAGATTCTTTATCTTCAACTATGGAAAATGAAAGGCATTTTTTTTTTTCATTTCAGCCATCAGGGGGATGGGGTGGGCAAAGAAAAAGCTTTTGAGGATTGTTTGTTCTCTTGAGAAAGACAATTTCTTTGGGATCCACTAGAGAGAATGAGAAAAGGACAAAAGTCTTCCTAGGACTCGGGCTTCCTTGATCAGCAATGATATGATATAAATGAATGTTTCAGATTCATTTAAACCATTACAATTTCAGAAGGTCAGTAACTGCTTTTAGTTGCAAACCCAGAAAAAGTTCCCTCTAGCATGCTACGCCTTTGGGATTTGTTCTGGAGATGACACTCCCTGTCTTATCCCCGTGATCCCTCCTTTCATGAAAGAGGTAAGGAAAACCTTCTTGTCAAGGTTAATTCCCAAAGACTTAACACTACTTGGATATGAATTGAGTGGATTCTCTTTAGAGGCAGAATGGAAGGGGAGGGAAAGCAAGGTTTATCCTCCAACTGTAGAAGAGGAAAACAAAACATCTCAAGTGAAGCAGATAATGTGCAATCAGTTCACACTGCCCAAATAAGATGAACTCATTAAGTTTTAAGTCAGTTTTCAGTTTAAACAGTTTCAATCCTTTCCAGTTAAGGGTGGCAGTGGCAGCCTCATAATTTAAGCCTCTCCCCTATCCTCCCCTCAAAAATCATCCTTACATTCAGTTTCAGTATCAGTAACTGAAAATACTTGTCATTAGCTGGCTTGTCACATTCCTTATAATGAATCAGGACAATATAGTGCACGGCTCAATCAATGCTATTTTTCACCTTTGCAACAACTCAGGAATCATCTCAAAAGCCCCAAACACAAGCCCCAAACTTCAGTCTGCATTCTACTCTGACGCTGACGAAATGCTGATTTGACTAGAAATGCTGCCATTGTTTACTACTCAGTTATTCTCAGTCAGATCTTCATCCTCTAGGCTGCTCTACCTTGTCTATCTTCACTAGATGATCAGCATATTAAATAATTACTTCAGCAACTAGCTTTCCCAGTATTGGAAAATTACCTCGTTTATTACATTTGCAGTTACAGAACAGCCATATGTTAAGAAAATGCTTCTTTTCTTTCTGTGTTCTATTTTGAGGAAATGCTCAATTAGTGCAGGGGCCATTAGGTAGGTTACTAGACAGTCTTGTTTTAAAATATCCCCAAAGCATTGAGGCAAATTTAAATCCTAGAGTCTGAAATGCTGGAGATCCGGCAGGGCTGGACGAAGCAATTCCAATAGAAAGGTCCCCAAGGTCATTCGGGTATGGCGCTGAAAGTCCTTTAAAAAGTAGTAGTGTCTCAGAGGTCCTTTTGTTAGGAGTCACAGTGCCTTCTGAAGGAATCTCATGCTCTAGAAATAAAAAATTTCCTCTAGTTCTGATGCAGCAGTTTAATAGAAAGCATTCTTTTTAAAGTTCTTTTCTCTGATACATTACCAAGCCATAGAGGGGAGTCCTTATTCTTTATTCTTCTATAACATCCACAAGACGCTCCTCACCACGCAGTTCCCACTGTCAACAGCCAATTTCTTCTATTTCAAAGGAATCACTTTGGGGTTCTCTTGTTGCAATAATAAGGCAACGCTTCTCACCTAGATCCACTCTAATCAGCTGCTATGCTGTGCAGCCTGATTTAGGAGTCTGACCGACTGTGATGCAGTTACAAGGAGGCTGTAGCGAGATTTCTCACTTCACAGTGGCGCTCTCTAGATTACTGCTTGCACCTGAGCCCCTGCACCTCCTCCTCATCACCCTGAGCTGATGCAGAAGAACTCCCCATCAGAAAGGTGACTCGGTCCTTCTGCCCCAATCAACAGCCCAGCCAATGGCTACTGCAGCTGAAACTGTCACTAGGTAACAGTTGCCAGGCACATGCAGGCTTCTAGCCTTACATGGCAAGCTGCGATCAAGAATGACAAATGAAGACAATGGGACTGACCGATGCTTATAATATATTAATGGCATTTCGGAACTTCCAGGGGTACTTCTCTTCTAGCACTTTCACAAGATTCTGCCCTCTGGATGAACAGAACATGAGAATTTCTGTAGATACACCTTTAAACCTCCTAGAGAAACTACCACAAAGGTACTATAAGAGACACAAGCTAAAGGAACAAGTCAGCAGAAATTTAATCCTTATTGGCAGAAAATACTTATTAATTATTAAATATGCCAAACCTTCATAAGCCCAAGCTAATGTGGTTATTTCCCTTCTCTCAAAATGGTTATATTTGATTAACAGAAATTGATCATCATTTTCATGCCACCTCCAAACACAGTCAACTCCCTGATGAATTTAAATTAATTACCCAAACAATAAAGTTATAATACAATAGAGTTAATATTGCAAGCTAATTCTCCTGTACCAAAGTCTAGCCTGTGAAATGTTTGAGGTTAAGTAGAAGGGAAAAGGTTAACTGGGGGAAAAAATCTTTTCAGAATGAACTGAAAACTACAAAACTTCACCTAAATCATCTGTTTAGTTTACCTCTCCATGCCTAAAACTGCAAAAGGTTAAAAAGAATTTTTCATATGACCCACCAGAGGTGTTTAGATTTTAAAATATCTTGCTTCAAAGCAAATACATGCCTTTTTGAATAATTTCTGTTTGGGTCCAATAACTCATTTTTGGAAGTGAATTAGAAAAGGAAAAAATTTACCTAATATCTTTAAAAGTTTAGAATGTTCAAAAATAAGGAAATGGGAAGAAAGGAAGCTAATTACAATGGTAACAAAATTACAGAAGAATATATTCGTCTTTTAATAGAATGACATGCTTTTTCAAAAGTTTTTTCACTCCTTTGTTCATCAAAAAATAACAAATCTAAATGTCAGAGATAATGTGATATCTCTTTTCACTACAGAAATACTTATGAAATACCTGTATTTTTTGATCTACTCTTTATTTTAAAAGAAATGTCAGATGGGGTTACAATGAGCTAAATAGAAAGAAAATGAAGAATGGATGATGAATTTAGACTTGAAAGCAGATATCTTAATTTTGGGAACAAACTCCTAGAAAGTACTATTTTAAAGGAAACAAGTTTCATTTTTAGGCATTCAGATAGACATCACATCTTCGGTTTCAGAAGTTTTAAATATTCAAATTACAAACTGAAAGGCAAGAATGAAGCTTGCAAACAAAGACATGGATAGAATTTTGCTAAGAAACTATTTTCAGTCTGAGTCGCAGAAGCACAGAGTGATGATATTTGATCAACTAGGCAGCATTGTGAAGTGGACCAAACACTGTTGGAAGATGTGTTTCAAATCCTGCCTAGACCACTTTCAACATTCTTTCAATCACCCAGACTCACAACCTCGGCATCATCCTTGTTCCTTCACCCACATAAACAAGTTCAGGTGTTCTTTACCTCTCAGCAAGATCAACAGCCTCCTGTGGTCTCTCTGCCTTAAGTCTCTCCTCCCTTCAATCTCTATTCATCACAACTGTTAACATGATTTTCGTAAACTTCGGTTATGACCATGTCACTCTTCTACTCCATAAAGTCCAATGGCTCCCTATGGCCTTTATGATCAAATATCAATCACTCTCTTTGGTTTCAACAGCCTTTGATGACCAGATTCTCATCTTCCTTTCCAACCCTGTTGTATGTTACTCTCACTCCCCTTCACACATCCCACCATCCAGCCAGACTGCCTCTGCTGCCATTCCTTACACACCATCCTCTATCTCCTGTCTTCCTGCATTACTCTGGTGGCCCTCCATCCCACTTCTTCCTTTCTGTCTCTTAAAATTCCAAGTTTCCTTCAAAATGTGGTTCAAACACCACCTTTTTCATTGAGTTTTTTTCAGACTTCCTATCCCCAGAGATAGTTCGGTGCCTCCTCATCTAATTACTTTGTATTAATTTTCTTTGTATTAATATACATGTGTCGTCTTTTCCCAACATCAGGAGCTAAGAATGGGGAATGCTTCATTTCTGTCTGTATCCCAAGTGCCTAATAGTGATAGGCAAACAGTAGATGCCTATTAAATGCTTGTTAATTGTGTGTCTCTGAGCAAGTCACTGGGCCTCAGTTTCCTCATCTGTAAAAGGAAGAAGTTGAACTACATAATCACTTAAGTCCTTTTTCTACTTCTGTTGTTGCTGCTCAGTAGTTTCAGTTGGGGCCAGGTCTTCATGACCCCATTTGCAGTTTTCTTAGCAAAGATTCTGGAGTGGTTTGCCATTTCCATCTGCAGCTCATTTTACAGATGAGGAAACTGAGGCAAACAGGGTTCAGTGACCTGCCCAGGGTCACATAGCTAGTAAATGTCTGAGGCCAGATTTGAACTCAGGAAGATGTCTTCCTGACTCCAGGTCAGGCACTCTATCTCTGTGCCACCTAACCATTCCCCTTTCCCACTAGAAATCTATAATTTTAGTAAATTTTTTAAAAAGTATGCTCTTACTCACTAACATAAGTATCTATGTGATTTTATTTCTCACATTTGGGGAAAATGTGAAAATCAAATACTGAATGACTTTTAGATTTGCATTTTTTTAACTTTACTAAGACTTTTCGGATACCTTATACAACAGAATGAAAAACAATGGTAACAATCCATATTTAGGTGGCAATTTGGGATGGTAAAATGCTCTAAATTCAAACTGGATCATAGGATCCTGGATGTAGTATTAAAAAGTGATCTATTCCAAACTACTCATTTTACACCTAAGGAAACCAGATCCCAGAGACTCACCCGGACTCAAACAGCTGGCACAGTGGAGAAGTGAACTCAGGTCTTCAAATTCCATGTCCAATGGGGTTTCTTCCGTCTCTCC